TCTGGGAAGTAAATAGGCTGATTTAAAAAGTGATCAATTTGATTTTTTTTTTTTACTCATCGGATTTTAGTACGGTTAGGTTAGGATTTTGTATTAATTGATTATTTTAATCCAGCGTAGATTTAATTAAATAAAAACTACAAACTTGTATAACTTTGATTTTTTAGAGTTAAATCATACACTTAAGTACAAACAGTTCGGGGTCCGCGATCTACTGCACGTAGATTGCCTACCTGATAACGTACTGCTGCGAATCAGAATTTTTATTCCGGGCAAAGGTTAAGTTAAGATAAGTTTGCCGAACACCATACACCCAACATTAAATGACGAGTTGAACAAAGTTTGAGTCGTATAGAGTTGGTACATTTAACGGGCAAAGAAGTAAAACACAAATCATTGGCACGGGCAACTCCGGTCGGGACAGCCAGTTAGTATTATTATATTCAACCATAACCAATAGCAACCTTACAATAATCAAAAATATATTATGACAGATGGCGCAAATGTTGTATTTTAGCCTTCCGGATTTTGACGTATTTTGATGAGCATCCTACTCTCTATACTTCTTCTCCATCGTAGTTTTCCACTTCTTATTGGCTGTCAATCATATACATACATATATAACATAGAACAAAATCAACCAATGAGAAGTGGAGAACTACGATGTAGGCCGAAGGTGAAGAAGATGCGTATCTACTGAGCAAAACTAGTACAACTCTGATGATACCCATCTAATTTGTCATGGAAAATACCACACAGTTATTACAATGATTGAAATATAACCATGGTTACTATAGACATTCAAATTTACGATAGTTGATAAGAAAACAAATTTTTAACGTTATTTTTATTTTTCAAATTGATTAATTCCAAAAGATTTATTAAAAGTAAAATACTTAAAAATGTTTTTTCTATAACAAACACCAGGCCGTTAAGTCGGATTTCCGCAGGTGGTGCACTTGCATACCCTTCATCACCCGTGCACACGCCTATGATGTAGAATCAGACGCTCACGAATTGCCTCCTAACTGACCCTCAAAATGCCTCCAGTGAATTTTTTTTTTTAAAGGTTACCCGAATTGCCTCCTGATTTCAAAAATATTATTCACTAAAATTGCCTCCTATTTTAGGGAGTGACCCTCTTGTACTGGAATCGCGTGCGATACCTATAATTAATCGATTTATAAAAAAAATGTATCAAACATAATTTAGATAAAATACCATTCTGTTATACAGTCAAAAACTTAAGTTTGTATAAAATAAATGTTTTAATAAATAGACTGACATATGGTCAGCAGCAGCAGCAGCAGCAGTAATAAGTAATAATTAATAATTTAAAAAATTTAAACTAACTGTGTTGAACTGATGGTGATAGACTAATCATTAACTGATAATTACTAATCGTGGATAAGATTAATGCATTTGAAAAATTAATCGGTCTGGGAATTACTGTATGTCTTAAACATTTTATTTTTGAACATTACGGAATAATATAATAACCGATAGTATACGTACAACTATCGATATATTGATTTATAATCCAGGTATGTTATGAGAAGCAATTTGAGTAAAAAAAGGTCACCCACCTAGATTTGGGAGGCAATTCGAGTGTCACCTTAGAATCACTTGTGTGTGCAGTGTATTAGTAATGAGCAATGACTAAATATAAATATGTTTGTATAATTGTTTGAATCCTGTGAGGTCGAGTGTATATTATGAGACCTCATTAATAAAATACCTAGGAAATAAATCTAAATGATACAAACTGTCCATGGTTTTCATTTTCTCCACGCAACCGTATAAAATGTCAAAATGTGAGGAATGGGGTAAAATCCCATTACGCCGCATCAGTGTAGTGGTGTATATGGGGATTTTTTATATGCGTTACCAAACACATATTATTAGCTATAAAGCACAACCTGAGTTTATTTCAATACAAGTGACCGTGTAAAAGTATTTTTAAATATTCAAACACCTATTTAAGCAGCGTGCCAGCGTGTTGTAGTGCATACTGAAAATCCTGTATATCTCCAAACACGACACATTCCCACACTATTTTTTTATATTTGAATATCTCGGCGAACGAATTATTCAAAACCTACTCGACTGTTCTAATAAACATAGCATGTTAACTTGTTCAAAATGCTAAACATTTAAATTCGCATAACTAGACATTTTTTTTTGTAAAGAGGTGGAATCTCACTTTGTTGTGTAATGTTTCATTGTGTATGCTCAATAATACACCAGTTACGGTTTCGGGACGTTAGGTCCCCAAACATAGTTTTTTCAAACAACTATATAGTCCAAACCTCATTAGGACCAATAAATGCTGTCCAAGTAATTTAAGTACATATTGTATTGGTACATTTATACTTGGTACAATATGTCAATACGAGTTTGTGTCAACTAACAAATCATATATTTGATGAACGTATATTATGTGTCATAATATATATAGTATATGTTTAATAGACTTAAAACTCTTTAAAACAATTAATATATGACTAAATCGAAATCGGAAGAATACGACTATAAGATATGAAATTAGATCTGGATTCAGTTATCTCGAAATAAATTCCCAACACTGATTATGACGTGAGTCTTGTGGTTACACATACTACAAATCCTCAAAACGTCCGTTAACGTAGCAATTATTATCGACGAACAATATTATTTTTAAGTCATAAAAAATTGAACCCTATAACATTGAAACCGTCCACAGTATAATATAGTATTATATTACAATAATCGGTAGGTATAGCCCGATATAACGATTACGTATTTACGTATGCTAGGAAACTCTACGAAAATGATGCAATAACTAAGGCCCAGATTACAATGAAAAGTGCTATATTTTTTGGATGCTCTAAAACAATGTATTTCAAGTACCTACATAATTCGTTTCATGTAACAGATACTTTAAGAAATAAAAAACTTTTATTTTTCATTTGCTTGGATTTTTCAATGATTTTCCATATTCAGAACATTTTTTGTAACATTTTCAGATAATTTTATTAATTTTTAATGCAGGTATAAATAAAATATACATTATACGTATTTTTAGTGCGGAAATTATGAAATTAAAAATAACATATCAAGAAAATGTCATTCTCTGATTCAACTTTACTTCAGTATGCCTGTCCTTTCCTATAGTCACCCAATCTATAAATACAATTACACAAAGTGGTAAGTAGTAAGTTTTCATCACGTCTACAAAATACAAATGTGTATTATGTATTTATGTATACATACATTTCCACTTACAACTGATTTATATATTTTCAGTGAAGTGAAAACTACATAAAAAAAATGAAGTACTAGGTTAGGTTTGAGAATGGCCAGTCCAATAGCATGTAACCATTTTTTTTTTACAATTTAATTATTGTTCATTGGAAATCTTTGACGATAAAAATACCAAGTAGAGTGAATACAAGTATTTACAATTAATAAACCTATTACTTACGTTAAAAGTACAACAAATAAAATTAAGAAATAATCAATCACAATTATTCACATTAATACAAATTTATAAAAAATATTAATTCTGTACTTACCTTCATCATTTGTACTGGATCAATAACTTTAGACACTGCAAAAATTGACCATTTTTTTTTACTACAGTAAAACTAAAGCATTTGGTAAATATAATAAACTTGGCAGTAAATAATAATAATAATTTATAATAAAAAGTATTAAGTTGATAGAAATGTACAAAATTTTATCCGCTGCAAATACATCGAAAAGTGAATACAAAATGGAGTATAATCTATGAAGGCAGAAATAAAAATACCCAAGTCCAAAAGTAATCACTAAATTTTTATAACACGCTCGTTTGGTAATTGGTTTCATTTACATAATTAGCCATATTGGCGGGTCCAGTTATTATATAGTTAGGTCAATGACAGTAATTAATTGGTCAGTACAGTTGGAGATAGTTACAGCTTGATCGCATTCATTTCCAACGTACCTATATAGGTACTAGCTGTTTATGTATTGTACGATTTGTAAGCATCTAAGGTGTGGTAAGGAGTTAGTTTATGTTATTATTAGCTTAGTTAAGATAAAATGGTTAGAACACCTAAAATTAAACATTCGTTTTCAGTTGTTTGCGTGGTGCGGCATAAAAAAAAATATATTGTTCATTTTTTAAGAGAACTAATGTGTTGAAAATTCATTTTTGGTTATTTTTTAGAGCATTTTTGAATAGATTTTAGGGCATTTAAACCCTGGCCCTAATAACATGCCATTCAAAGGGTTATGTGCGCTGCAGTGGTGGTACATAATACAATATAATAATATAAAGTTCGGTATAGGCGGTATATACACGTTTTTTGGTCACGCACGTGCGTCCGTCGCTATTGTGTTCGAAATTCGGGAGACTTGCTAGCGAGCGGGTCGACGGTGCTTAGTGGAGGTGCTAGTGGCTGAGTGAGTGTCGGGGTGAGTGAAGGTACTAGTGGCGGTGCGAGTGGCGGGCGGTCGGTCGGTCGGAGCGGCCCGTCGACGGGGCGTGCGTGTTGCGAACGCCCCGGCGAGCAGCAGACGTAGCGCTTTACGCCGGGCGACGCGCGGCGCGCCGTCAAAAGCACGTAACGCGCCGCGCGCGACTCGTCAGTCAGTGTGTCGGCTAACGGCGGTACGGGAACACACCACGCACCACGCCGACGCTCAAGCGGAAAATCGTGTTCGTCCGTCGGTTCGTCGTGCCCGTCCGTCCCGCCCGTCCATCCATCGTCGGTCCACACGGCTATCTCGCTCAAACGGTCGTCCGTCCGCCCGTCCACCATCCAAACACCCCGATCGGGCGACGCACGTTCCGGCCACACCAATAACCGGCCACCGGCGGCCACGGCGGGTGGTGTCGACGGCCGCCGGGCCGGTTGTCGTCGTAAAAGTGGAGGCTGCGGTGGTGGTGGTGCCGGTGGCAGTGTTGAGGCGGGTGAATCGCGCGTGACGCGGCGCCCCCCGGCCGGTTGCAGGGCGGCGCACCATGCGACGCGATGCGGTCCGCCAGCTCCGAACTGTTGCTGGACACCAAGCAGCAGCAGCTCCGCAAGAAGAAGCTGCTGGAATTAGCGGCGGCCAAGAAGCAGAAGCGTGGCGTGCCCCGGACCCTCCGCGAGAAGGTGTGGTTCTACTCGACTCTGTCGTTCGCCATGATCGCCGTCGGATCTGGCTCAGCGCTGCTGTTCCTGGTGCCGCTGTACGTGGACCCGGCCGTGTCCACGCTGCTGGCCGACTTCGTGCCGGAACCGGTGCAGTGTACCACGGTGCGCCGCGAACAGCTGGCCGGCCTGTACAACTGCACGTGGAGCTCCTGCCGGGAGGGTTGCACCAGCGACGTATACAACTGCAGTCACATTTACGTGGCGTACAGGACGTCCGCCGATGGAGTCAGTGGCGTCGGTGGCGGTGGCGGCGGCGGCATACAAGTGGCGTCGGGTCGCGGCGGCGACGTGATCGTGCCCGAGGCCGTGCTGCTGGTCAACATCAAGGGCTGCGGTTACCCGCCGGCCGTAGCTTGTTCCAATTTCACCAAGGCGTACGGCGTACTGGGCGCCACATTCCCGTGCCACTATTCCCGGCAGAACCACACGCTGACCGTGGTCGGCTACGACAAGCGGCAGCAGTACGCCGACATCGTCCACTACTTTGCCGTCCCGTTCGCCGTGTGCGTGGTCACGTCCATCGTGCTATGTGTCATGCACTGCGACTGTCAGCAGGCCGCGGCCGCAGCGGCCGGACAACAAGCACTGCCGGAGACGTCCAGGAGTTCCGCCGGCCACTCACACATGGAGGGCTACAGGTATTATTGTCCAATTGATATAATGTAAAAAAAAAATCTCTGAAAGCATTTCAATGTTGGGTGTCAGCTAGAAATTTGTTTCACAAGACTACCCTACTATGAATTAACGATTTACAGTTTATTGCACGGATCTATAATAAATAGGGAGTTAGGGAGTAACTTAAGTTTCAAGCCACTGTAATGAAATTACTTTTTAAGTAATTCGATAGGACCTAATTACTAAACACGTTTTAACGTGTTAAAACTTAATTTTTTTATTGTAGAATTACTACATTTTTTTTAAACACATTTGTGTAAATAATTCATCAAGTACTATTTTCTGACAGTATATTATATACATTTTCGTAATATTCGTTTAAGAAAAAAAAATGTATTTTATTGTGAAATAATATTATTATTAGTGTCTGTAAATAGTTCCATATAGTTGATTGTCATTACATAGGTTAATGTATAGAAAACATAATTATTAAGTTCCAGTGATAATTTTGAACAAAAATAAAATAAAAAATAACTTTAATTTCAATGAAGTTATTTTTTAACTCAAAAGTAATGTAACTTGAATAAATAAAATAACAGTAACTTAAGAATTATTTGATTAAAATCTAAAATAATCTGTAATGTAATTTAATAACCTACATAAAAAATTAACTTCTCCAACACTGCATATTATAGATTATAATATATAAATATGGATTTAAATTGTAAATCATCTTATACTTTTTATTACGTATAATATTGATATCGTTTTATGTAATATTTGTCGACCAAAATTTTTGCGAGCTATATTATTGTTGAACAGTCCATTTTAGATCGACTGTTAGATAAACAGAGATTGACGAGATGTTCTCGGGCTATTGAAACCTATTTCTATATAATATGCTTAATCGAAAATAATCGCACGAGACTTTGGTTTATTGATTAACAATGATTCGTGAAACAATCGACTCCGGGAATGGTTAAAATATTTAAATACTTCAATAACGACAGTCACTGCAGAGGGACGCAAAACTGAAGCGTTCCATCCACCCCCCACACGTACTATATATACAGGACACTCTGTTCGAGATTCGAGATTAGTGTTTGGCGTGCCAACTCCAAAAAGTGGGACATCCGTTGGCGGTACAAGGACAAAAGCGAGTTGAATAAACTAGAATGTATAGCAGCTTTGAGTTTTGACGAGGGCGTTGAAGAGGCTGCAGTAGACCGTATATATAGACGGAGATAGTGTCTAGTCCAGCGAGAAGGGACCCTAAAATTAACGATCTGTGACGGTAACGTGGGTAAAATGCGAGTTGGCCAGTTCATCTCACAGGACGGTCGAGTCTTTGAGACTATAACCCAGAAAATCCCAGTCCGACCAACGAGATTTATAGGCAGGGTTCGGGCAATAGTCCTGGTGCACTAGACAAAACGATAATGTGAGAGGTTATAATAATATAATAGGCTTCAAAAATATGATCAAAATTCATATTATACACTAAAGAAGTAAAAACGTAGGAATAACCAATAATATGAACACTATAATTTTTCAAAAAGAAATATGCACTTTTTGTTGCATATTAGAATTTTCTGTTATTTTCTAAATGGGTCACTACTCACTGTGTAATGATTGGTATTAAATTCTAATTCAATGGTATAATATCATTGTATGCGAAAAACGATTCTGAACGGTGACGATTTGTCAGTGTGAATATTTTATATTATATTTATATTGTTATTACTATTACTATTATTATTAATACGATAAGCTGAATTAATAATATAAAATTTCAACAAAATAACTAAAATCGTTATTCTTGGTTATTTAATAAGTAATTTCCTCCAAATTTGAACATAAAATAACTATAAAAAAAACTGTATTTTTATAATTCTGAGATTTGTTGGTTACATTTTTTGGTGTATATACGTGGAACTTTGTTGTGAGTTTTTAATCCTTAGCGATAATAAAAGTTGAACATTTTATAAATTTTTAAATTTTAAATTTAAAAAAAAATGTTGTTGTAATTTCCAACGGTCATTTGTTTTAGAGTTACACCAAAAACTAAAATCAATTTTGTCAAAAACCGACTTTGAGTAAAAATTCCCGGTTTTTCTTGATTTTTTATTTTTTTTTGGTTTTCCTCGGCTCTTTAGAAAATTAGGAATTTTAAATTTTTACCTGCCCAAGCACCAACAATATTCACTTTCTCATCGAACAAGATACTGAAGTTGAAAATCGAAGCATTTACAAGGATACAAAATAACACACATCGTTGTAAAACCAATACATTCATCGCTCCGCTCAGAATCTAAAATAGTTGTTACATTTTATGTTATAATATGTTTCATATAAGTGAAATATAAATGAAAAATTTCTGATCTGAATTTTCAGTAAATACCTTCTAATACGTATTCGTATATTATTAAAAATTATATAACACTATTAGTTGAGCTGCGTGCTGTAGGTACTACACTACTACATCCAATAAGGATTCAAAATTTCTATAAGTCCTGATCCTGACTAATGCGAGACCGCTGTATATATGCGTATGAACACTATTGTATAGATACATACATTTACAGTTGTTGATATTGTTGATGTATTTAAATCAAAATTTGTCCGAGTAGAGTTATTAAACTTTATGCGGGCTTATGAGTTATACGTTATAGTATTAATAATAATTTTAAATGCTAAATCTAATTTGAAAAGATAAGTTTGTATAGACATACTGTCTTAAATGGGGCCAAAAGATATCTAGGTATTTAAAAATACTGAAAACATTTCAGTACACTAACAAAAAATTCAAAAAATTCAGAATATGAATAAAATAAAATGCAATAGAGACAAAAATTCTAGATCATGCTATTGTTGAGTCATCCGGTATATTACACAAACAAACATATACGCGTTGTCCCATCGAAATTGTTACGAACAAATCTTAAATGTATTTGTAAATTTTGGTAAAATAATCTATTGAAAATAAATTCGTTGATTATACGACGAAAACCTTTTAGTCATACCTATACTCGCACATCGCAGTCACGCAAATACTGTATGATATATGACTAAGGTACCTTTATTATATTGATTTGACGCCAAAATTGTTTCAACGATATATAGACGTAGCGAATTGCGTTAAAAAATGTTGACGATTGTATACGATTTATCGTACCTGAATTGGAAAATACGTCTCCTTCGTCGTAAGATTTTTGGATCTTGTACTAGCGTAGTTGCACTTAATTTTGTCAACAGTACGACTCGCGAGGTCCTTATTCTTTGTCGGATGTCCTCTTGTAATTTATAAACGTATAGTCTGTTTTCTGCAAGACGTATTAAAACACTCCAAAATCGTTTAATATAATATTGAAGTCTGCGCAGTACCTACGCAATTCGTCCTTCCCTACTGAAATAAAACTACAATACAAAAAAAACGGTTTTGGCTATTAAAACATTTAACCCTTTGGTATTATTGATATTTAAAAAACGGTCATATTAAAATATAGTCCCTACATATTTTTCATAAAAATAACACACATTATGCTATCGTAAAAGGCCTTTTTCTCTATTGTATCTTGCTTAAATATTAATCGTATTATAATAGAGGACGTCGCATATGCCCGGGTTTTAATTGGGACATTTTTTTACAGAATTTGTAAGCAAAATTAAAATTGAACTATCAAAACCTGTTAATATAATATGAATTTAAAAAGAATAGTTTGAAAATGTTCTCGTGTCGATACTCTAATTGGTTTGTTGCGTAATGGTTACGAATTTATAAATTAAAAAAGTTTTGCGGGAACCTGGAACAACGCAATATCAAAGCACATACTCATAATAATAATATAATGACCGAAATTATGTCATAAACATAATGCGCTTGGCCTGTGCTGATGATGATGAAGCGTTTTTATTTTTTCGATAACCTAGCTCCACAAAATATCGTATTCAAAAAACTTGAGAACTAATAAATTTATCAATATTGTGCTAACGAACAAAAACGTTATGCATATAATGTATGAAAATTAAAATCGTCATTTATTTACGATGAAAATGTTCACTACCAGGCCAGTAAAATCATGACAACTGAAAAAAAAAATTTCCACTTAGTCACGTAGATGTATTTAAAGAGAAAATTTAAATTTTATAAGTGGCCGGTACAAATACACACACGATATAATATTATATTATACAGTGTGCACTCATTTTATTTTGAAAAAAATGTTTTTCTCTGAACATATTCGAAACCAGCTACTTATGTCATATATGTATTTTTTTTATTAATATTCTATTATAACGGGAATCGTGTTCAATAGTAGGTACTATATAAACACTATATAGCACGCCTATTTTCCAGGAAGTCATTATTATGTGCACATAGAATTTTTTCCTGGTTTCAGTGTATTCGTAACTTTTGAAAGCTTACACCCATAGAATTTAAGTATCGTCGTAAACAAACAAATATAATAACGTTAAACTCCAGATTTATAAAAAACCAATATTAACTGACTGTTATTATTTTCGTTTTTCAAAACTTCCGGACCGTGAACGAAGAACAATATTATTTTTCTCACTGTTCACATTCAGTTTGTTCGACACTTCGATGACTAAAACATTGAAAAAAAAAATATTTAAAATCTGATGTACCTCGTATGTTTTTATGATAATATGATTTATAAAATATGGTTTTACCGTTCTATACATTCTACAAATCAATAATTAATATTAATACATAAACTGTTCGTGAACAAAATAATTTCGTTTTAATCGACATCGGTTTATGTACCTATAGCCTATAGGTAATATAGGTATACCCAATCAGTGATTGTTAAAGTATAGACAAGTGTAGGTACATAGACTATTTATAAATTTACTGTATTTAAAATGTTGACATATCATTTTATTGACCTATTTATTGTCTTATTATAGGTTTTGAAATTTAATTTAATATCGTGACAAATAATTTTGTTGGGACTAATAATATGAATAATATTGATGGTTGCACACTCGCCGTACCTATTCGTACACCTCACGTTGATTATCTTCCATGT